TATTTCGTCGCTGCTGCCGTATCGTTATTGTTGTTAATATTTTTTTTAAATGCTCATTAGTCATTTGCATCGAACTGAGGCTTTTGTTTCACCGATATTATATGTTGGAGCGTATGATGAAATTGCTATCATATATAGGCATCCAAGCAAGCTCGTGCAAATACATACGCGTTCGACTTTATGCCACCCAACAGATGAACGAACGAAAAATAAAATAATGAACTACCCATTCGTTTATTATGCTACAAATTGCGATATAACTTCGTATGTTTTCTTTCGATCGGCATTGCCACCGTCACACACCGCACACCGTTTCGCCCAACGTGTTCTTCAACCGTATGTAAAATGATGAAGTGACGTATTATCGGGGAAATTACAGCTACTCCAAACATTTGTCATATTAAAATAGCTTGAGCTTATCGCGTTTTTGTGTGTCAATTTATTACTTTTTATTAATTACAACCATTTCTGAGTGAATTATTTTTCGTGACGAGATGCTTGTGCATTGAATAAGAGTGTCGGGTGATATGCGGTTTTGGGTTAAAATATGAAAATTGTGATTATTGGCGGAGATTTATGCCCAGTTTTTCGTTATGTGTCTGCCAAATCATTTGCATCGTCATAAATATTTCATTTTACTCGTACGCAAATCCATTTTGCGAGCCAAAGTCAAGCGAAAATAGCCAACAGCTGGGTCGCTTCACTATTTATTATACTCTGATAAGAATCAGATATTTCCACTCCTTTTCGATCTCATGTTTTTCAGTTTAGCACACACCAACACACACACACATACACATACACATACACATACATACGCGTTCGTCGCACGTTACAAGAAACAACGGCCCAAGATTTTACCACAGTATTTTTTTATTACTAAAGTATTTTATGCAAAATTAGCAAATATCTATCATATGTCGGTGCTTTTTCGTTTCGTCGCACTGCGAACGTTGGTTTGTAATCAGGTTGCACGGATCTGTGTGTTCCGTGTCTTTCTCTCTTTCAGATTTTGACTTGCTTTTCGTGTATATGTGTTTTTTTTCTTCAGTGCGTAAAGAAATGATGTGAAAAATAAGCCGGCAAAAACGGGAAAATGACCCCAAGCCAGCTCATTCTACGTTGCATTTGCCTGTGTTCACTCAAATTTTTTTTTTCTCCTTCTTCTTCCTCTTCTTTTGCTTCTCTTGCTGCTTTTGCTGGTACTGAATCGATTTTGTGGAATCAGGACATCACAATCCAATTTATTATAATCAAGCCAGTGAAATGTGAAAACATCAAAAACAACGAATATCACATAAATTATAATAAAAGAAGAAAAGAGTCGGGAAATATGCTGGAGACAGGAGCAAATGCGATGAACACAGTGAATAGAGTAAGATATATCCGTTTATAAAGTATGGGAAAACGAAAGAGAGAGAAAGAGAGAGAGAGAGGAAGCATGTACAAAGAGAAATATGAAAATGGCAGTGGACTAACCCGAAGCTTCCTTGATGGCTCATTTCTGATAAACGTTTTTCGTTTTACGCAAATATGCGAATCTACTTCTAAATCTGATTTACATCCTTTTCTGGCACAGTAAATTATGCTGTCGATTTCGATTTCCTTGCATACTCATACACCGACAAACATACATCGTTCCCAAATCGAATACACTCACGCACACACCCACACACACACAGCGGCACACTAGCAAATAATATCAGGATCTGACTGAGACTGATGGAGAGAGTGAGAGAGAAAGAAAGAAAAAATTGTGTGCATATTGCTCACATAAATATTAAGTCAACAAAATTAAGTTCCGTCATCTAATGATGATACTCTTGCTAAACGTCTACACGACCACTTATCCTTTCTGCTGTTCTATTCTTTTTATTCAATTTCGATATTGTGGAGAGTGAGAGGGAAACAGATAGAGACAGAAAGAGAACGAGAAAAATCAAAAGTTCAATGGAACATGGCACAAAGGATCAACAGCATAGCGACTGGATAACGAAGAGAGAGTGAGCATAAAAGTACAAGGAGAACAGAGAACCACGCAGAAAATAATCTGTCGAAGAAATATTGCCATAGCATATTTTACGTATCAAAATGGCATTTTAACCTTAACGGTATGTGTTTTTGTTATTGATGTTAGTATTTCTGTTGGTGTTGGTTCTTTTGTGCGGACTCTTGGAATTCTTTGAATTGGCTTAATTTATTTTTGTTTCGATAATTCGCATCAATGATTTTTACGATCGTTAAGGGACCCTAAATCTTCTGAACTTGTAACGTGATATATATATATACATTATCCGATATGTGTATCGATGTGGGCAAAATGCGTTCACTTTCGCTTTTTTTTCCTACTTTTTCTTTTTCAATTGAAAACTGAAATGCGCTCACAATCTATTTATCGCATACCATACACAGGCACACATGCATATACTTGCAAAGACAATTTACGTGGTTGATTCCGTTGAACTGAGACCGAACTGTCGTTTCTGCTCGTATTTATTTTTATTCAATTATCTGGAGAAAAGGTTCGACATTTAAACGATAACCGTAATGAATGCAATCATCTCACGAAATTCATTAGCCGTAATGAAAAGAGAGGGAGATAGAGAGAGAAAACACGAAGAAATCAATCGATTGCACGCGGTCGTGTGTCGCATAACGTATTCAAAGTACAATTTCGATCGAAGTAATCGAATTGGGTTGCGACAGAACAAACAGTAAATTGCATTGGTCAAATTAAAAAAAAGGGGTAAGAGAGTGAGAGAAAAGAAGGAAAAAGAATGGAACAAAAGTGGAAAAGTGGTCGATGTGATGCGGTGTCATCTGTAATGTGAGGCCAACGAGTTAAAAAGAGCAGTAGCAGCAACAGTAGAAGCACATTTGTCGCATGAAATGAATTCTTCTGGTTTTTCTATCATGTTCAATGAACTGCAACAGTCATGTCTGGGGTTATTTACGCTCCGCTGTCCATTTAATTAGATGGTTTTCATTCGCTTGTCTTTTTTTTCTCTTTGTGTGCACTGCACTCTCTCTCTCCCTCTCTCTCTCTCTCTCTCTCTCTCTCTCTCTCTCTCTCTCTCTCTCTTTCTTTTGATCACAAAATGTCAGCATTCATATGAGTGGTACTGTCTCAAGTAGCGAATCGATCGACTTCATATTCAAGATGCCTTCAGTAACCTAATGATATTAGTTCAAGCGTTTGACGTTTCTGTGCAATGCAACAGCTTGATTGTTCGTAAAATTGAGCCATCGCAATAAGAACAGAAACCGAAAAAAATAATACACGAAATAGATACAAAACTACTGGAATTAACGTTTGAACCATTTGTGTGGAAACAACATTGAATTCTACCACTGTGAACAGAAGCAATCTTTCAAAATGCCAACGAGAGCAAAGCCATTCTAAACGACTTAATTCCTATTCCCATTTTC